ATTGTGAGGAAGTCTCAGGCGGGAGCTCCCTCCCTATGGGGCCCGCAGATCATGTTGGTAATCAGAGCGGGTCATCGGAACCCTGTAACTGTCGTCACTTTTGGGCTCCTCAAGCCTGAATATGGAGGAAGTCTCAGGCGGGAGCCTCGTCTGTGAGTGAACTGCGAGGAAGTCTCAGGCGGGAGCCCCCTCCCTATGGGGCCCGCAGATCATGTTGGTAATCCGAGCGGGTCATCGGAACCCTGTAACAGTCGTCACTTTTGGGCTCCTCAAGCCTGAATATGGAGGAAGTCTCAGGCGGGAGCCTCGTCTGTGAGTGAAATCTGAGGAAGGCTCAAGCGGGAGCCCCCTCCCTATGGGGCCCGCAGATCATGTTGGTAATCCGAGCGGGTCATCGGAACCCTGTAACTGTCGTCACTTTTGGCTCGTCAAGCCTTGAATTTTGGAGGAAGTCTCAGAGCCGGGAGCCTCCGCGAATCCTGGAATTGTGAGAAGTCTCAGCGGGAGCCCCCTCCCTATGGGGCGCCGCAGATCACTTTGGAATCCGAGCGGTCATCGAATCCTGTAACTGCCCTAAATTTGGCTTCCCAACTGAATATGGAGGAAGTCTCAGGCGGGAGCCTCCGTCCTGTGAAGTGAATTCTGAGGAAAGGCCTCAAGCAAGAGCCCCTCCCTATGGGGCCCGCAGATCATGTTGGTAATCCGAGCGGGTCATCCAAAACCTGTAACTGTTCTCAATTTTGGGTTCTCGCGCTGCCAGAACGCAGGAGCCGGTTTTGTCGTGGACATGCCCCGGCGGGCGTACGTGTTGAAAAACGCGAGCCGCTCCTGCGTCCCCATCTCGAACCATCTCCCGCCGGCGAGAAGGTTCAAGCGCTTCCCGTGGAGGCCAATGAACTTCCTCTCGCCCGCCGCGGTCAGCAACTTGGGCTTGGGGTCTCCAATGCGCTCACGGCAAGCCGCCGTCTGCTTGAACTCGGCCAAGAAAACGCGCAGCAGGTGCGCAGCTGCAGAGAAGTCTTGCCTCTGGATGGCGTGGGGGGCCACGCCGGGCTCCCATGCATCGGTGCTCTGTCGGTCCGGCAAGGGCATCGACCTGTCGGTGACCTCGAGGCCGTGCAAGTAGACCTTTGACACGTGGACAATGTGCCGGCGCGACGCCTCAGACAGCATCGGGGCAGGCGTTGGAGATACCGGAGGCGTGTCGAAATCGAGGTTCGGCGGCGGTTCAGCGAGCCTCGCCCTCTTCGGTACATCCTCTCCGGCCACGGCGGACGCAGCGGCGAGCCCTGGCGACACGAGCGGCGGGGCGGGCTTGGGAGCAGCCACCGGCGACCGAGGTGCAGCCGACGCGGCGAAGGGCGGCGCCTCGCGGGCGGCCCTCTGCGGCGGCTCCGCGGCAGGCGCAGCGGCGAGCCCCGGCGACGCGGGCGGCGGGGCGGCCTTGGGAGCAGCCACTGGCGGCCCAGGCGCAACCGACTCGGCGAAGGGCGACGCCGCGCAGGCGACGCCGCGCAGGCGCAGGCTCTCGACAAGAGAGCGGTTTTGTCCAGGGCGGAGGCGAAGCAGCTCGCGGCAGAGCTGGGCTTCGTGCTGCCTTCCGCCTGAGCGCGGCTGCGCCTCGCTCGAAACCCGCGGGGTTGTCCCAACGGCTTGTTCTTGCGCGCCAACGGCTCGCGGGGTTGTCCCGACGGCCTGGCCCGCGGGGTTGTCCCAACGGCTGCGCGACGTGACCAGTAGAGAACGCGCCTGTGCTGGCCGTGGCGGCGACGGCGCCGAGGAACATCGACATGCGCGCTCATGCAACAGGAACGGGAGGAGGTGGCGGGGCGCGGAACAAACAGGGGGGCGAGGATGGGGACAACGTAAGGAGTGGAAGGGGGGCCCGCGCCAAGGCGAGAGGAAATATACGCAGAAGAGACAGCCAGAACGCCTCACCAACCACGAGGACGACGGTGATGGCTTTTTCCAGATTCGCCCAGAGGATTCTTATGCGGGGTTCTTCCGTCGGAGTTTTTTTTTTCGCCGAATGATCAAGGATGCTCCTCGGTCGTCCTCGCCGAAGGAAAAATGCACACGCCCGAGCGATGCCAAGTTCTTCTTCTATTACTTCTACTACTACGATTACTAGTGCTACTTCTACGTCTGAGCTTTCTACTACTACTACTACTACTACTACTCCGACTACTACTACTCCGACGACTACACTACTACTACTACTACTACTACTACTACTACTACTACTACTACTACTACTACTACTACTACTACTACTACTACTACTACTACTACTACTAACTACTACGACTACTACTACTACTACTACTACTACTACTACTACTACTACTACTACTACTACTACTACTACTACTACTACTACTACTACTACTACTACTACTACTACTACTACTACTACTACTACTACTACTACTACTCTACTACTACTACACCTTCTGCTAGAACTACTACTACTACTACTGCTGCTGCTGCTGCTACTACTACTACTGCTACTACTATCAGCATTAAGACTACTACTACTACTGCTACGACTGCTGCTACTACTATTTCGACTACTACGACTGCCACTAGTAGTAATACGATTCGTACGACTACTACTACTACTACCACTACTACTACTAGTACTACGACTACTACTACTGCTACTACTACTTCTACTACTACTACTACTACTACTACTACTACTACTACTACTACTACTACGACTGCTACTATCCCGACTGCTACTACGAATTCTACTACTACTCTTACGACTACCACCAGCAACAACAGTACTACGGCTACTACTACTAGTACTACTACTGCTACTACTTCTGCTAGAACTACTACTACTATTACTACTACTACTGCTGCTGCTGCTGCTACTACTACTGCTACTACTATCATAATTAAGACTACTACTAATGCTGCTGCTACTACTTTTACTACTACGACGACTGCCACAAGTAGTAATACGACTAGTACGACTACTACGACTACGACTACTACTACTACTACTACTACTACTACTACTGCTACTACTACTACTACTACTACTACTACTACTTCTACTACTACTACTACTACTACTACTACTACTAACCTACGACTCACTACATACTGCTCTACTACCACCCTAAACTATGTACTACTACTACTACTACCACGACTATTGCCTACTACTACTACTACTACTACTAACTACTAATACTACCACTCCTCTGCTAGAAACTACTGCTGCTA